ATCTCTGAGTACAGGTAGGACCTGCATGGAATTGGAGGGAAGGAGGGTCCCATGTGAGCAAGGACCCAGGACCAGCCCCTGCCCCACTCCTCACCCCCTGAAGACCCTGCAGCCTCTCCAGCAGGCTGTGTCTGCATCCTCTCCTCCCTGTGGTCCCAGGAGCACAAAGTGATGATGGAGATCGTGCAGCTCCAGGAGGCTGCAGAGAATTACAACCTAGAGCCCCAGGAGCGATTCAGGACCTGGTTCTGGGACATGGAGCAGCTCAGTGAGGAAGAGAGGTGACGCCGGCCAGGAGATGGGGAGGGCCAGGTGGACTCTCCCTGCTGGCCAGTCCGGAGAGCCTGCGTCCATGGCTCCCTTGTCGGCCCTGTTGGGGTGCTGGGCAGATGCCGGGAGGGACACCTGAGCTGTGGAGTGTGGGAGGCTCACAGGTGCCACTCTGTCCTGTAGCTTCAGCCTGTCCTGCCAGCTGGAGCCCCGATCCTAGTTGGCCAGCAAATCTCTCCAGCCCCAGAGAGCACGGCCATCATGAAGCTGAGGAGGGAGTGAGTGTCCCATGGCCGTATGACCTCTTCCTTGGCAGCGGGGACCCAGCTGCGGCACTCGGGGTGCACGGGCCCCACCGCCTGCCACCCCTTCCCCGAGGACAGTTTCCATCTCTGTAGGGGTGAGAATCACTTCTTGTAAATAGTTCATGCCAGATTTGCACACTGTTGTATTAAAGTCCTGTTTCTCTTACAGCCTGGGAGTGGTGGTTCTTTCACATTCTGTGCTAATTTAAACGCTGTCCAGACTCTCAGATTCCTCACTGGATTAAGACCTATTTCAGTCATCCCATTATTGTGTGTGGGAGAGGGGGGAAGGTGCAGCCCCTCCCTTGCTGCTGAAGGAGACCCCAAGGGCCCCTTCTCAGAGGACAGGTCCGTGTCAGCATCGTGAAGCTGGGCCAGGAGCAGAGACAGCCCCTCAGATCCCTGAGATGGGAGGTCGAGGTGTTTTCTCAGGCCGAGCATCCACCACGGAAATGAGGGGGTCCCTAGAGCCACCACTTGCCAGGCCCACTCTGTGCCCCAGGAGTGGGGTTGCCCGTCCACACTCTGGAGGGAGAGGAAACATTTCCTGCGTCTCTTGTGGAGGTCTCTCTGGACAACGTGTTTGGGAACTTGTAGTTTCCTAGTTCAGCCTCTGGAAACGCATCAGCTCTAAGTGGGGAAAACAGGCAGAGATCAAACTGTGCGTGTGGAGAGGACAAGGCCAGGGGAAGGTCATTTGTGCAGGGACTTCGGGCAGGCAGGACTTGCCCTCCTCAGTGTCCCTTGGGGTCCGTGCTCACCCTTTCCCTGGACGGGACTCCTGCTGGGACCGTGTCCCTGGCTCCAGAGTCCTCTCCCTGCTCGTCTCCTCTCCAGGGGAAGATTTGTGGTGCAGCCCGCCAGGCTGCAGCTGGGGCCCGTTGCCGACACTCTCCTGCTCCCTGGGACCCAGGACCCCCAGCCCCTCCGCTTCCTCCTTTACTCTTGTCAAGTCAGAAGTCCCCTCAAGGCCCCCCATCCCTCAGGTGCCTCAAGGCCACTCCTCCCTGCTGGGCCTGATGGATCCTGGTGAGCTGTGATTTGCAGGCTAACAGGCCATAATCCTGGCTAGTGAGTGCACTTACACTCTCCCTTGCTGTCCAGAGTGACTTCTGGGCCACATGGTTCTGAGGTCCATGGTCTCACACAAGTGCCTGTTTACACACTCAGCTGTGTTGTTTCCAGCTCATCCTAAGGGGCAGCTGGCCCAGCCCCTACGGCGTGCAGCCCCTGGACGCCTGTGCTCTTTTCCACAGTTAAGCTGTGACTGTGTCCCGGGGTTGTGAGCCTTTCCTGTTGGGAGCATTGAAAGCTGAGACATGAGAGGAGCGTGGGTGGGGGTGCAGCGGAGATGCCCCCAACGTGATGACCTCTGGACATGCGTGGACATGTGAAAATGCCTTACCAGTTAAAATACTGAAATGCTTCCCATGTGGGCGTAAACAGACAGCGCCCTGAGTTCAGCCCAAGGACCCACCCACTGACCAGGAGCTAAAGGGTTACCACCTGATGCTTTGAACGTTAGCCCTGAAAAATCTTGTAAGACAAGGGCCAGAGGAAGAGCTTGGCACTGCCTGATGGCCGCAAGTGTCACCCAGCTCCCTGCAGGCTGGACTCTGCCAGGGCACCTTCTCAGGACAGCCAACCGCTGAGGATAAACGCTGCTTCCCAGCAGCCCAGGCCCTTCCTGACACGGCACAGCCATCCAGGAAAGAGAGTTGCCAACGGAGGAATGGCTGTCCTTCCGCTCCAAAGGGAAGCAGAAGTGCCAGGTGCCAGGGCTGGTCCAGCACCGGGATGAAGGCACGGGTGTCCGAAGGGTTTCTCCTGCAGGACTGTGGGGCTCCTGCGAGGCCAGCCTGCATGGAGCGACCTTTAACATGTTCCATGCGCATCGTGCGGCAGCGGGGGACAGCGCATTGCATCCTTGGGCATCCATTGGCCAAAAGTGCTGACAGTCCCCCGGAGAGACCCATGTTTGCAGTGAGGGACCCCTAACATGCTATTGTTTTCTTTTTCATTCTCAGCTTCAAAATATCTGTTTGGTTCTTTTTTGTGTTTTTTCGTGTTTCTTGTTTCTGAACTTTTCATTTTGTCCTGCTCTTGCTTTCCTCATTTCACTAAGCGGTTGGCTGTGTGCTCTTGTAGCTCTCTGTGCTGCTTCAGAATGATTCTTTTGATCCCTTCTTCTACAGTATTCCCAGGACGCTGCTTTTCATTGTGTGTCCTCCACATGGCTCCACGTTGGAGCCGGTCAACTGAGCAGACTGTTAAGCTCTCTGTCCCCCCGTGAGACACACACTGAACAGAGAACCTCTGCCGAGTGGGGCCCTACCACTGCGTTCCACTTAAACCTACTGTACGTTCCTTCCAGCGTTCTCCCAACCCTGCCTATTCCGGTTCTTCACAGTGTTGCCAGGTTCCCGTCTGTGTCCCAGGAATTGGACCAGTTCTTCTGGAGTGCAGCGCAGTTCCTCGGGGGGCCCAGTTTGCGCCTCACCCTTTGGGACCAGCTGGGAGTCAGGTTCACCTGGATGGAGTCTTGGTCTGCAAGCCAAGGAGGCTGCTGGGCGTAGTCCTGAGGAGGAGCGGTGTCTTGCCAGGCAGTGCCCTCAGGGAGCCTCAGGAGGAGCCGAGTGATCTCCTCAGACAGGAGGAGGAGGGCGCTGCTTCTATGGACAAAGAGACGCTGCACATCTGTGGAGCCTGAAGCCCAGCTCACCCAGGAATGGCCTGTTGTCCCCGTTCCACCCTCAAGACCCCACTCCTAAATCTACGCCATCACTTTCACTGCTGTGTGGACGGGAATTCCATTTGGGCTGTGATTCAGCCACTTGCAGGCAGACTCTGGGTTAGGTTTTCCGAAATCTCAGCTCTGAAGCTACAGGAAATAAGTGTTTATTTCAGGGAAGAAGGAGATGCTTCAGGTCCATTACATGGTGCTGGAGCTGCGAATTGGACACCTGGACTCATCTTCTTTCTTTCCTCACATAATCAGTGCAGTAGGAGCAGTAGTAATTTCATTACATTAGTTAGTCCGAAATGATCTAAAGTATCAAATTCACGGCCACCCAGAACCTTGCCTTTTATAAATATTTGATTAGGATTACACAATGGTGATACTTCGTATATCTCTATTGCCAGAAATTGCCATGGACCATTAGCTTCCTCTGAACACTGGAAATAGGGCTGCTAGAATGTTTCATCAAATTAGAGAGCCAATTACAGAAACCCAGAACCATTTTAGAAACACATCTTTAATATTCTATTCCTCTAGAACCATCCTTGGCACCAAAATCTGTATTAGAGCTCTCCAGAGAACAGGAACATATATGTATAACATGAACATACACATGTATGAACATACATAGAGCCACGCCTCTCTTAACGACGGGGACGGGATCTCAGAAATGCATCATTAGGCAATTTTGTCCTTGTGCAAACAGCACAGAGTGCACTTAGACAACCCTAGATGGTGTGACCTACCGCACACCAAGGCTGTGTGGTACTAGTCTTATGGGACCACCATCGTATTTGCAGCCCGTCACTGACCAAACGGTCACATGCAGCGCATGACTGTACATGCATGTGTATGCATACGTGCACACACGGACACACAGCGAGAGGTTTATCTCACGGAGTTACTCTTGTGGGTGTGGGAGCTGGCAAGTTTGAAACGACGGGAAGGTCAGCAGACTAGAAACTCAGCAAGATTTTAAGCTGCGACCTGAGGCCTAATTTCTTCTTCACCAGGAAACCTAATTTTCCCTCTATGGGTTTCAACTGAGTAACTGACACGCCCCCACGGTTTAAAGGGTGATACAGGCCTATTTCATTTGATTGTGCTTCCCAGATGTTGCGTCTTTTACAAGTTGAAGGTTTGTGGCAACCTTGTGTTGGACAAGTCTACTGGTGCCGTTTCTACAACAGTGTGTGTTCAGTTTGTGTCTCTGGGTCACATCTTGGTAACTCTCACAGTATTTCAAACTTTTTCCTTACTATTCTGTTTGTCTTGGTGATCTGTGCTCAGTGATCGCTGATGTTACTATTGTAATTGTTCTGGGGCTCCACGAAATGCGTCCATATAAGACAGCAAACAATCAATAAATGTTGTGTGTGTCCCCACTGCTCCACCGACCGGCTGTTCCCCCGTCTCTCCCTCCCCTCAGGCCTCCCTATTCCCGGAGACACACCAATGTTGAAATTAGGCCGATTAGTAACCCTACAGTGGCCGCTAAGCGTTCCAGTGAAAGGAAGAGTCGTACATGTCTCACTTCAAATCAAAAGCTAGAAATGCTCAAGCTCATACAGAAGGCGTTTCAAAAGCCAAGACAGGCAAAAACCAGGCCTCTTGCACCAAACTATTAGCCAAGTTGTGAGTGCAAAGGAAAACTTCTTTTCCTTTTCCTTTAATGAAAATTAAAAGTGCTGCTCCAGTGAACACACGAATGATAAGAAGGCAGAGCAGCCTCATTGCTGATATGGAGGACGTTTCAGTGGCCTGGACAGAAGAGCAAACCAGCCACAACACTCCACCAGGCTGAAGCGGATCCAGAGCCAGGCCCTCACTCTCTTCAGTTCTGGGAAGGCCGAGAGAGGGGAGGAAGCTGCCCAAGAAAGAGTGAAGGCAGCAGAGGTGGGCTCATGAGGTTTAAGGACAGAAGCCGTCGCCATAACGTGGAAGCGCAGGGGGAAGCAGCAAGCGCTGCTGTAGAAGGGGCAGCACGTCATCCAGAAGATGTGGCTCGATCATCAGCGAAGGCGGCGACACTCAACAACGGACTTTCAACGTAGATGAAACAGCCTTCTACTGGAAGAAGACGCCATCTGGGACTTTCACAGCCAGAGAGAAGGCAATGCCTGGCTTCAAAGCTTCAAAGGACAGACCGACTCTCTTGTTAGGGCTAATGCAGCTGGTGACTTTAAGTTGGAGCCAATGCTCATGGACCATTCTGAAAATCCAGGGCCCTTAAAAATTATGCTGTATTTGCTCTACCTGTGCTCTATAAATGGCGCAACAAAGCCTGGATGGCAGCACATCTGTTTACAACATGGTTTAATGAATATTTTAAGCCCGCTGTTGAGATCAACTTCTCAGGAAAAAAGAGTCCTTTCAAAATATTACTGCTCATTGACGATGCAGCAGGTCAATCAAGAGCTCGGATGGAAAGGTGCAATGAGATTAATGTTGTCTTCACGCCCACTAACATGACATCCCTTCTGCAGCCCAGGGATCAGGGAGTAATTTTGGCTTCCAAGTCTTATTGTGTAAGAACTGCATTTTGTAAGGCTATAGCTGTCGTACACAGTGACTCCTCTGATGGATCTGGGCAAAGGGCATGGAACACTTTCTGGAGAGGATTCACCATTCTCCATGCCATTAAGACCATTCGTGATTCATGGGAAGAGGTCAAAATAGCAACATTAACAGGAGTTTGGAAGAAGTTGACTCCAACCCTCACGGATGACTTCCAGGGGTTCCAGAATCCAGTGGAGGAAGTAAGTGCAGATGCGGTGGAAACAGGAGAAGAACTAAACTAGAAGTGGACCCTGAAGATGCGACTAAAGTGCTGCAATCTCCTGATAAACTGTTCACGGATGCGCAGTTGCTTCTTATGGACGAGCACAGAAAGTGGTTTCTTGAGAGAGCAACTCTCCCTGGGTGAAAATTGCATGAGGGACTGGTGAGATGACCACAAAGGATTTAGAATGTTACATAAACTTGGTTGATAAAGCAGAGGCAGGGTTTGAGAGAATTGATCCAATTTTGAAAGAAATTCTACTGTGGGTAGAACACTATCAAACAGCGTCACATGCTACGGAGAAAACATTCATGAGAGGAAGAGTCGATCAATGTGCTAAGCTTCATTGTTGTCTTATTCTAAGAAATTGGCACAGCCACCCCACCCTTCAGCAACCACCACCCTGATCAGTGAGCAGCCATCAATGCTGAGCCAACGCCCTCCACCAGCAAAAAGATTACAACTCACTGAAGGCTCAGACGAGGGTTAGTGTTTTTAGCAATAAATTATTTTTTTAGCAAGGTATGTGCATGTTTCAAAAATATAGTGCTACTGTAAACTTAATGGACAACAGCATAGTGTAAACGTAACTTTTATATGCACTGAAAACCAAAAGATTCGTGCGACTCGCTTTATTGCGACAGTGGCTTTATTGGGGTGCTGGGGAACAGAGCCTGTGATGTCTTGAGCTCCGCCTGTGAAACTTTGGCCTGGACACCTGCTGTGCGACAGTCTCAGGTTCCTTACCTGAGTGACGGGGATGACGGTGCTTAGAAAAAGAGGCACCTAGAGGATGGATTCCAAGATGGCGCCGTGAGTAGTCCTCTTTGTCTCTCGCCCTTCGAGTCTACAATTATTTGGACACTTATCGCTTGACAAAGGATATCCAGACAGCATCTCAGGACGTCTGAGACACCCACGCGACTATACATCGGAAGGCGGACGGACTTTCCTCCGGGAGGATGTGGAAATAGGTGAAAACTCTCCGACCCCGACGGGCAGCCTAGTACCCGCAAGCGGCTTTCTTCCAACGGACGCCCCCAGAGGATCCACACACATCTAGGGCAGGAGCGAGAACACAACAGAGGAGCGACGGTGGAAACAGGTGACCAGAACCCTACTTAAACCCCCCGCAATTACTCCTAAACGCAGAGGGAAACTTTGGAGTTGCACACCTGAGCCCGCGGGGAGAGTCTCTCCCCGCCATTGGCGGGGAGACCCGGCCTGGTGCTCGGGGCGCCCGGAGGGTCCCAGAGAGAGACACGGACGGCACGGAGGTCTCCCAGCTGCCGTTGCCCGCCCCGTGGGACTAGGGATTGCCGGAGATCTCGGAGAGGACCGGGGTGGGGGAACTTTCAAAGGCCAGATCGGCGACCCGGAGGGGAAGTGCCGGAGCTCCGCCAGGCAGCAGACAAAACTCTCTGTCTGCCGGTAGCAGAGGGGCCACGCTGAGCACTCAGGGCTCCCGGCAGAGGCCCGGACAGAAGCCCAGAGCGCGGGGCGACCCCCAGCTGCCGTTGCCCGCCCCGTGGGACTAGGGATTGCCGGAGGTCTCGGAGAGGACCGGGGTGGGGGAACTTTCAAAGGCGGGTCCGGCGACCCGGAGGGGAAGCGCCGGAGCTCCGCCAGGCAGCAGACAAAAATCTCTGTCTGCCGGTAGCAGAGGGGCCACGCTGAGCATTCAGAGCTCCCGGCAGAGGCCCGGAGAGAAGCCCAGAGGCGGGGCGACCCCCAGCTGCCGTTGCCCACCCGGTGAGGCTAGGGATTGCCGGAGATCTCGGAGAGGACTGGGGCTGGAGAGAGTTCCAGAGACCCAGCTTAGTAGCCTAGGGGGAAGCCCTACAGGCTCACAGAAGGCTTAGGGAAAGCCTCTGCACAGCACCAGTAGAAGCACCCAGCCGCCAGCCACAAGGCTGGAAGACCCCAGGGCAAAAGCAGCATAGCTAGGTGTACTAACCACAGACTGTAGAAGATGCCCCCAATGGAGTTCCTGTAGCAAGGGATGATGGGGCATCCCTTGAACATCTTCCCTATTCTGCCTGACAGTATAGGTGCCTGGGGATGGGTCCCCAGGAGAGAAAAGGAGAAAGAAAAGAGCCATTACCTTGAAAATCCCCCCACTGGGTTCCTGTAGCAGGGATGATGGGGGCATCCCTTGA